TTATTTTGAAGAAATCTATTAACTTCTTTCATAGAATAATCAATATTATTGATAGGAATGATAGAAGGATTAGGTTTATCTATATCCAGATTCTCCAAAATCTCAGAATAAATAATAGAATCTTTAATCTTCTTTAAAATCTTAAAACATTATCATTTGATAAAACATTTATATTTAAATCTTGAAATTGAGAAAGGAGTTTATAAAACTCATCATTATCACAATCTTTATTAATATTACTAATATCTTTAGAACAATTTGCATAAGGATTTCCTATAGAACAAACATCACAATAAGATGAAGAACCTTCAGAGCTAATGGAAATAATAGAATCACTATCATTTAAATCATTCAAATTTTTATTACTATTAGTGATACTTTGATTTTCATCTTCAGAATTAGAATTTAAAAAGATGTTAAGAAGAGAATTCTTTTATATCCTGGTCAATATTTAAATGTCATGCAAGAGGGTCTCATTCCTAGTCGCTATTTCGAAAAAACCTCTTGTTCTCTTTCTCATGCTGGAGGAGGTCCTTTAGAAATTAAATATAAGCTTTCAAATGCTAAGATTTGTAACCAAGCTAATTGTATCTCTACTAGTTTTCTTCTAACCAAAGATATTTCTCATGAGATAATCCTTGGTCTTCCTTTTTTATATAATATTTATCCTTTGACCACATTCGACGAAAGTGGTCTTTCAGGGACTTATAACAAGAAGGATATCAAGTTTAATAAGCAAACCTGTGAAAAGATTTCTTGATAATCTCCAAGAAAGAATAGATAGAAAAACTTTCCATCTCTATTCTCTCAAAGAAGGAATAAATTCTTTAACTATTGATGAAAAGATTTCTAATCCTCGTTTAAAAACTAAGATTGATTTCATTCATAATGATTTTTCTCTTAAAATTTGTAATGATCATCCTAATGCTTTTTGGGATAGAAAGAGACATTGTTTCCCTTCCTTATGAAGAAGGATTCCATGAATCCAATATTCCTACTAAGGCTAGGCCTTGCCAGATGAATTCTGAATATCTTGTTTTATGTAAAAACGAGATTGCTAGTCTTATTGATAAAGGTCTTATTAGACCTTCTCAGTCTCCTTGGTCTTGTATCGCCTTTTATGTTAATAAGCATTCTGAACAAGAAAGGGGTATTCCCAGGCCCAGGCTTGTTATCAATTATAAGCCTCTTAACAAAGTTTTAAAATGGATTAGGCATCCTATTCCAAACAAGAAAGATCTTCTTGATAGACTTTTTCAAGCCTTAATCTTTTCAAAATTTGATTTAAAATCAGGTTATTGGCAAATTCAGATTGCTGAGTCTGATATTTATAAAACTGCTTTTAATGTTCCTATGGGATATTATGAATGGAAATATATGCCATTCGGACTAAAAAATGCTCCTTCAGAATTTCAACAAATTATGAATGATATTTTTTTATCCTTATAGCAACTTCATTATTGTTTATATTGATGATATTCTTGTCTTCTCTAAAGATATTGAGAGTCATTTCAAGCACTTAAATATCTTTAAATCTTTAGTAGTTCAAAATGGTTTAGTGATCTCTAAACCTAAAATGTCTTTATTCAAGACCAAAATCAGGTTTTTAGTCCATGATATTGAAAAAGGAACCATTATTCCTATTCAAAGAAGTCTTGAATTCGGTGATAAATTTCCTTATAAAATTTTAGATAGAACTCAATTACAAAGATTTTTGGGTAGCCTAAATTATATTTCGGCTTATATAAAAGATCTTAGTAATTATACCTCTATTCTTTATAATCGCCTTAAAAAGATTCTTGTTGTTGGACAGATAGTCATACGTTAGCCGTTCAAGAGATAAAAAAAAGGTTAAAAACCTTCCTTGCCTCATGCTCCCAAATCCCCTTTGGGAGAAGATTGTTGAAACTGATGCTTCAAATATTGGTTATGGAGGCATTTTAAAACAGATAGATCCTTCTTCTAAGCAGGAGTACCTGAAGTTATATGTATTTGCTATCGAATATATTTCAAACATTTGTTTACTCTTAATCCTAAGTGTAAAGGAATTGATAAAGATATTAATGAAACTATTCTTATAAAAACTAATTTCAATAGATCATATATCACTACTCGTAGATCTATAAAATGGAATGAAATAGCTTTCCCCGAAAGTTGGACTTTAACCAGGAATATTCCTAAAAATCCTATTATTCAGAGTGATTTTAGCAATATTACTCAAACTAATGAAGGAATTGTTCATATACAATTCAATGATGTTCAGAGAAATTTCCACTCTGAAAAAAGGCCTTTTTTAAGATCTAATTCTTTGGCCCATCATGCTTATCATCATATTTCTCCTTTCGGTTATATGGTTGATCAGCTTCAGCCCTCTAGATCCTCTGCCTCTTATATAAGAGAAACCGAGACAGTCTTTTAACTCAAAAATTCTGGATAAAAAAGTATATTTATACCATCTGAATTCAGTAAGAGTTTTACATCTTAGATTACTTATAAGAGTCCAAATATTTTCACTGTTATCAGAAAATCTACCAGTGAAATGTTCAATGATAGTTAAGATGAGAGGATAAACAACATTAGTTGTTGATCTTTTTCCTTATTTAAAAACTCATAAGTTTTTACATATCCGTCTTGTCCAAATTGCTTTTAGACTTCTAACTCTGGAAGGATTACCATAAAGTTTTCTTGCAGCTCTTAGAGATGGAAGAAATCTTGATTGACAACAATCTTTAATTGGTATGATCCAATCTAGCCTGGCCCATGGACCAGTTTATTCCGATGTTTATCCTAATCTATGTTTATCTTTATCTGATGTTAATATTCTTGACTCTTTAACATTAAATGTTAAAACTCATGGCTATAACAATGCTACTGGTACTGAAGTTATATGTATTTGCTATCGAATATATTTCAAACCTTTGTTTACTCTTAATCCTAAGTGTAAAAGAATTGATAAAGATATTAATGAAACTATTCTTATATTTCAAACTATT